GACCAGAATTTGGTCAAATTCTGATTACCCGAAATTGTGAGAAATGTAGATATACATGTAGGCGGTATATTTTTTGTAATACCCTGAGCGATTTTATTGTTTATTTATCGCGCCATACGTACACGTACTTGTGTTTTCAACCTGCTTACTTCTTAATAGATGTGGACTGATAAAAAGATAAAATCGCGTCATTCTTCAAATGAACTTGTTGCTTTGTGCACTTAGACACGTAACCATGAAAAGATAGGTAGGACATTTGTCAAATACTTTCCTTCTAGAATAAATATAAAAAACGGAGATAATAAAACGTCTAATCTAAACGGAAATGAACGCTTGTACAATGGAACGCATGAATGAACGATTGAACACATAACCGATAAAAAACAAAATGTGTAATTAATGATTAAAGAAAGAAAGAAAAAGAGGGAAGGAAAAATTGAAAAGAAGAAAGAAAAAGAGAGAAAGAATAAATGAAAGAATGAATGAAAGATTGAAAGGAAAAAAGAAAGGGAGAGAAAGATTGAAAGGAAGGGAAAAAAAGAAGGAAGGAAAAAGTGAATGAAATGAAGAAAAAAGAAAGAAAGAAATGATGATCGAACAGGAATTACGTTTCAGGAAAACCATTCAACAAATTATACGTCCTTCATGGATAAATGGATGGGTTCATTAACAGAAATAATAGTAAACTATAGTGGGATAATGCTAACACTTGTGTTCTGTGACGTTGTGCTATTTATCACGTTTTATAGTGTAGGAACAGCTTTGGTATGTGTAATACACCATCTAATACAAATACACGTTCATTTATGGATTCTATTTTCTCCCTTGTGTGGCCGAACTGACCAATGGTCAGTTGCCAAATAATTGATAACGGCGCTTCTCTCTGATTAAAAGCTGCCAGACGTTTATCTGACCGAATACATAGCTTAGTCAGTTATCCAGGCGCCTGCCTCAATAAATATGTGGTTTTTTTTTCTCCGTTTGTTTAGAGTGGTCAATATATGTCCGGAAAGTGACCCTTGTACTTGTCCGGCCATTATTTAGGGAGCTCTGTAATAAAGGCAGTGTCTATATAATTAGACTGTTTAGGGGTTATACATTGTAGAAAAATATAGCATCAAAAGACATGAATTACCAGTTTGTGTGTTGTATATTTACCATCACATATACAACAAAACAAAGGTGGGTCCTGAATCGTAATTCTGATCCGAAATGTGTTTTCATGAAACGCACTAGCCTTACCTGTACAGTGATGGGACTAAGAAAATTTCCGTGAACTGAAAGTATGTGCCATTTTCACCTTAAAATGACAGCTAATTCTTAATTCAAGTCTGTCAGATCTATATCAATGTGATAGAAAATTACTACACTTGATAGTCAGACATACATTTGGATATTTATGCATAATGTTGGCTTTATTTCACACCGAAGATGCCAAAATAATAAATTTGTTGAAAATTTCGTAAAAGTATGTAGAAGACTTTTGTGTAACTTCCAACAAAAAACGTACGATATATCAATATTTTTCTGAATAATCTATAGTACAAAAGACGTTCACCTGGAGCGAGAAATCCGCGCATGCGCGACGCGGTATGTCCTTATTAGTTGCAAATGCATTGTGATCATTGTATTTGTTCGCTTGTTCGAACAGTTTGACAGGACTGTCATAATTTGACACAATGCTATTTTGAACGCTATAAAACAATTTCATGGTTTATATTCATAGTCATTGACCGAAAAAAGATGGCGTCACATTCAAAGTTTGTATATACCTTAATGACGCCATAAGCTGTAATTTCATACCATGAAACATCGACCAAAATTATCTCTAACCGTTTTACTCAACACTCTGCTTACAATCGAAATGACTTGTGACGCCTGATATCCCATCACAAACTATTTGTGAAGTCGGTTATAATCGATCTCTTAGTTGTCAATGCAAATCCCTGTTCATAAAAATCATCTCTTGTGCTTTTCAGCAATTTTAAAACCGTGTAGATGTGCCAATTATCATAAATACTCCCATTTATCTAAAAATATTTTGGAAGAGTATCTAAAAATACCGCCGAAGAAAAGTGTCTCGGAAAAGAAAAACTGACATGCATGATTCAGAGTGCTTTTGGGTTATCGGTCATTCAGTGCATTCAGAATATCAGTCGATGTATATATCTACAATACTTTTACTGGAATAGAGAAATCAACAAAACACCATTCCTTGAATTGTTTAATCAATTAAGACAAGCGTGTTGTCGAAAACATCTATAAAGGGAGGTAATCCATGCAAGACGTAGAGAAATGGTTACAAAGACAACAAGAACACGCTAGATTTGCAGTGTTTACGTTTACCTAATATACAAGTCACCTGACACTTATTTCACACGCTCCGAGAGCTGTTTATGATTCAGACAAAACTACAGTGCATGTTAAAACGTTGATGCTATCTATTGTCCCATTCGTTTCATTTCACACGTTGGTCTCATAAAACTTTTGAGTGTCACTTAGGCAAACAGTCAACATGGCTGAATCATTAATAGATCAAGCTGGCACCTATAGAACAGCTACATGTATTTGTGAAATTGGTTACTCGAGCGGAACGCTAGTAGTTTTTCGTGCAGTCATTCAGACGCTGTAATCATTAGGCGGAACCAGAAACACATCTATAATGAATTCGTATGAAACCTAATGGAGCACGGTAAAAATAGACCCCAGCGGTTCAGCAGTTAGGATAATTCCATTATTTTTAACTAAAAAGGTATGTTCTGAGAATATCATTGTAATCTACAATGGTAAACACTAGGCACCTGTTTGTAATAACGGGAGATGCGTGGATTATGTTTATCTTAATACTGGAGGAAGGAATTGAACCGGAATGGGTAGCCATTCTAAATAAAGAACGGGCGGACTTTTTTTTATACCTTTATACATGGATTAAATTGATTGTTTGTGTACTGAATATGTACTACGCGTGTTTATGGTTTTATTCCGCTAAGATGGATAAACGATTTGCCTACGGCTTCCTGGAATACGGCTCGAATCCGTAAGAATAAACAAAGTGTCCACAATTATTTGGTGATAGGTTAGTAAAATACATATGTATGAAAAAGCATCCATTGAGTCCATTTTCAATAGAAGGCAATATTGATGACGTAGTATGGCATACGCTACGTCATAAATATACTGTCAGTTGGAACATACAATCTACGCCCATGCAGAACGTAAGCAGTAGTATATATGAAGTAGTCCAGAACAAATAAAGCTTTATAACCAATCTAATATGTGCCACACACGGCTTTAGTACAAACACCACGAGAGTCGTTTACAAAAAATCTTCTCCGCATTGTCGAAGTACAGAGTAAGTCTACAGCGTGTTATAAAAGATTTCAAATAATCTTATGTGTAGGAATACGAGGCTCGAGGTCGCGCGCGTTCATGCTTTAGTGCCAGTAATACCCCTACGTTACCACACCTCGTGAAATTTTCCCGTTTAGGAAATTACTTTAACACCAGTTCTTTACAACCTGCCAAGCAACAATCGAAGGTGCTATGCCGAAATGAAATGGCTAGAAACTCCAGCACAGTGCTCAGTGCCAACGTACCAGTACATTGATCTACCTAGACTCTTCGTTCTCATTTCTTACACTATGATGAGCTTGGACCACGTTTACAAATGTACAATATGCGCATGCGCTGTTTTTAGCGGTCCTTTGCGAGATAGTTAAACATATAATGTTCATTGTTGGACATAAGTGATTAATGTGCAAATTCTCCTCAAACAGTAAGGCTGATTTTTGTTTTCTCAATTAAAACGAGACAAGCACGATATCTGCCAAATGTTTTTTTTCTCGATGGTATGTACGCCAATGCCTCCTTTTGCTCTAAAACTCGTTGTAAGGCTCCTGGTGAAAATTTAAGGATTTTAAACAGCAGGCAACATTTTCATGTTGTACACACCATCTGAGTTAATCGGTTGCTGTTTCATATTTAATAGACGTCTCACCCCTTTCGACCGTGTATGCCAGGCCTAAGGATCGCTCGCTTTACTGTATTAAGGTCTGCGTTTCTGTGAACGCTATACCACGGAACTGGGCTTGCTTTATTGATTTGCCTTCACAACCAAGTCCACCTGAGACAAAGCTTGCGTTCCAACCATCTTTACAAATGTTTTAATGTTCTTTTTTCCTTTCTCGAATTTTTGTGTTTTATCGAATTTGACACGTATGTCTTAGTTTGTGCGGAATATTGATCCAGAAAGGTCTGCGTATTGAAAAGACAACACCAGCATCGAACCCGCCTATATTCACCTAACTGTAATCTACATCGAACGAACCTCAGAAATGAGGCTCCCTGCATGTCGTAGGACGTTACGTCCCAAGGGAGGTAATTATTGATTTTCCATGTGCCGCTTCAATGAAATATTGTATTTCAAACCTATTACTTTGAACAAAGAGGAAATTATGGATTTATTTACATGTTATTAGCGATAACCATGTTTTGGAAAAAATGAACTTTAATATTGATGTATTTCAGCAAGTAAGGTAGTGTTTGTCGACGCCATTGAAGAACCCCCTTTCTCCAATACAAAAACAACCTATACCTTAAAGCGACCATTGATTTTTCTTCACGTTTACCTGGCGCTACTGTAGTTGCCGAAGTATCGCTTGCTTACCTGCCCGGCTACAGCAGCAAATACTGGTATTGAATAGTGGAGAAGTTCGCTCTGCCTATAGGAATAATTGAGCGCCACACAAGCTATGCTTAACAAGACACGGTGTGTGTTGTGTGTGTGTGTTGTTTTGTGCTCTCGGCTTAGGCAAAGCTATTGAAGGAAGGAGTATGGGAGGCAGAGGTAGTTGGATGCTGTGGGAAGGTGTTGTGGAGTAGAATATTACTGGATTATAGAGTGCGTTATAGAAGAGTTCCTATGGATAAAGAAAGAATGGTGTTACATCTGGCTCGGGACGGCCGATCATTAAATAGGTGACCGATTCACATTGCTGAGGATGATATGTACGTTTTTTAGAAAACACACGCAATTTTATAAAACAGCTCCACAAGAGGAAATGATGTAAGTATTTACATATCAGTCTTAGACTCCAAATGTGTCTTTTTATATTGAGTCAACTCAGATTTTAAGTCAATACATAGAGTACTTATTTATAATATTGGATGAAACATGGTAAGTTTGTCTTAACAGAATTAAATTTAGCTCGAGTTTACAAGTTAAATACGAGGGAAAAATTTAATTCATTCGTGTACAATGTTGAAACGGTTACGGACGGTATCTAAACGTAGCGGATGTCAGTTTGAATTTCTGTTTATATTTTTGTGTAGTAAACAATATCAAATAAACTGGTACAGAGAATTACCAATACCAGTGTTTGATCTGTAGTAGAAGCATACGAGGCAATGAATTTCGTATATATGTGTGTATATAAATTTTGAGTACACGATCATACTGATTTATAATAAATACACGTGTTTTCAATTGGAGCATATACAAACAGTTAAGCAGACCATATAAGGGCATAGATCGTAGTAGTGAGTTGTAAGAGAGCGAAGCACGTGTGGACCTAGCCTCACGTGCAGACAGCGCCTACATGTAGTCATCACTGTACATACATGGAGACAATGTGGGTGTTGAGTTTGACCATCCTCTTTCATGTGTCACCACCATTCGTAATTCTATTTCCGGTTTTGTCGAGGGAAAATATATACATTTTTTTTCACATGCTTTTCCATATTAAGAAATGACAAATCACTTACTATAAGATGTATTGGTAAACTTTGATGGAAAAGACATATAGACTAATGTATAGACTATTTATAGGCACAAAACCAGATGAAATTGTACAAGTACATAAAGATGATGTCACATACGTCCTATACACAATGATATACATACATTTCTCTAATTCTAGCGATACAATTTCATATTTCAATCGAAAATTATCGAAACATACAAAAAACACACATAGGATATATATTGTGCTACAAAGCGAAATAATAATGAGACATAATTATGGACAAAAATATTATATAATATTAACATAAAAAAAAATATACAATATTTAAAGACAAATAGAATCAATATACGCCGACACTATCTTATTCATATATACAATATAATGTCACATTAACTTACAGACCATATACACTAAACTATATACATAGACTGTAACAAACTATATATAGACAGAGTTACACACCATATACACTAAACTATATACAGAGACTGTAACAAACTATATATAGACAGAGTTACACACCATATACACTAAACTATATACAGAGACTGTAACAAACTATATATAGACAGAGTTACACACCATATACACTAAACTATATACAGAGACTGTAACAAACTATATATAGACAGAGTTACACACCATATACACTAAACTATATACAGAGACTGTAACAAACTATATATAGACAGAGTTACACACCATATACACTAAACTATATACAGAGACTGTAACAAACTATATATAGACAGAGTTACACATCACACAGAATAAACTATATACAGAGACTGTAACAAACTATATATAGACAGAGTTACACACTTAACAGAATAAACTATATACAGAGACTGTAACAAACTATATATAGACAGAGTTACACACTTAACAGAATAAACTATATATAGAGACTGTAACAAACTATATATAGACAGAGTTACACACCATCACACAGAATATATAAACTATATATAGAGACTGTAACAAACTATATATAGACAGAGATCCACACCACACAGAATAAACTATATACAGAGACTGTAACAAATTATATATAGACAGAGTTACACACTTAACAGAATAAACTATATATAGAGACTGTAACAAACTATATATAGACAGAGTTACACATCACACAGAATAAACTATATATAGAGACTGTAACAAACTATATATAGACAGAGTTACACATCACACAGAATAAACTATATACAGAGACTGTAACAAACTATATATAGACAGAGTTACACACCACACAGAATAAACTATATATAGAGACTGTAACAAACTATATATAGACAGAGTTACACATCACACAGAATAAACTATATATAGAGACTGTAACAAACTATATATAGACAGAGTTACACACCACACAGAATAAACTATATACAGAGACTGTAACAAACTATATATAGACAGAGTTACACACTTAACAGAATAAACTATATATAGAGACTGTAACAAACTATATATAGACAGAGATCCACACCACACAGAATAAACTATATACAGAGACTGTAACAAACTATATATAGACAGAGTTACACATCACAGAATAAACTATATATAGAGACTGTAACAAACTCTATATAGACAGAGTTACACAATACCCAGAATAAACTATATAGAGACTGTAACAAACTATATATAGACAGAGTTACACATCATACAGAATAAACTATATACAGACACTGTAACAAACTATATATAGACAGAGTTACAAACCATACAGAATAAACTATATATAGAGATTGTAACAAACTATATATAGACAGAGTTACACACTACACAGAATAAACTATATACAGAGACTGTAACAAACTATATATAGACAGAGTTACACAATACCCAGAATAAACTATATATAGAGACTGTAACAAACTATATATAGACAGAGTTACACATCATACAGAATAAACTATATACAGAGACTGTAACAAACTATATATAGACAGAGTTACACATCACACAGAATAAACTATATACAGAGACTGTAACAAACTATATATAGACAGAGATCCACACCACACAGAATAAACTATATATAGAGACTGTAACAAACTATATATAGACAGAGTTACACATCACACAGAATAAACTATATATAGAGACTGTAACAAACTATATATAGACAGAGTTACACATCACACAGAATAAACTATATACAGAGACTGTAACAAACTATATATAGACAGAGTTACACACTTAACAGAATAAACTATATATAGAGACTGTAACAAACTATATATAGACAGAGTTACACAATACCCAGAATAAACTATATATAGAGACTGTAACAAACTATATATAAACAGAGTTACACATCACACAGAATAAACTATATACAGACATTGTAACAAACTATATATAGACAGAGTTACACACTTAACAGAATAAACTATATACAGAGACTGTAACAAACTATATATAGACAGAGTTACACACTTAACAGAATAAACTATATAAAGAGACTGTAACAAACTATATATAGACAGAGTTACACACTCACACAGAATAAACTATATATAGAGACTGTAACAAACTATATATAGACAGAGTTACACACTAACAGAATAAACTATATATAGAGACTGTAACAAACTATATATAGACAGAGTTACACATCACACAGAATAAACTATATATAGAGACTGTAACAAACTATATATAGACAGAGTTACACACTACACAGAATAAACTATATATAGAGACTGTAACAAACTATATATAGACAGAGTTACACATCACACATAATAAACTATATATAGAGACTGTAACAAACTATATATAGACAGAGTTACACATCATACAGAATAAACTATATATAGAGACTGTAACAAACTATATATAGACAGAGTTACACATCACACAGAATAAACTATATACAAAGACTGTAACAAACTATATATAGACAGAGATCCACACCACACAGAATAAACTATATATAGAGACTGTAACAAACTATATATAGACAGAGTTACACATCACACAGAATAAACTATATATAGAGACTGTAACAAACTATATATAGACAGAGTTACACATCACACAGAATAAACTATATACAGAGACTGTAACAAACTATATATAGACAGAGTTACACACTTAACAGAATAAACTATATATAGAGACTGTAACAAACTATATATAGACAGAGTTACACATCACACAGAATAAACTATATATAGAAACTGTAACAAACTATATATAAACAGAATTACACATCACACAGAATAAACTATATACAGACATTGTAACAAACTATATATAGACAGAGTTACACACTTAACAGAATAAACTATATATAGAGACTGTAACAAACTATATATAGACAGAGTTACACACTTACACAGAATAAACTATATACAAGAGACTGTAACAAACTATATATAGACAGAGACACACTTACACAGAATAAACTATATATAGAGACTGTAACAAACTATATATAGACAGAGTTACACACTCACACAGAATAAACTATATATAGAGACTGTAACAAACTATATATAGACAGAGTTACACACTCACACAGAATAAACTATATATAGAGACTGTAACAAACTATATATAGACAGAGTTACACACTTAACAGAATAAACTATATATAGAGACTGTAACAAACTATATATAGACAGAGTTACACAATACCCAGAATAAACTATATATAGAGACTGTAACAAACTATATATAGACAGAGTTACACATCATACAGAATAAACTATATACAGACACTGTAACAAACTATATATAGACAGAGTTACACACCATACAGAATAAACTATATATAGAGATTGTAACAAACTATATATAGACAGAGTTACACACTACACAGAATAAACTATATACAGAGACTGTAACAAACTATATATAGACAGGGATTCACACCACACAGAATAAACTACATATAGAGACTGTAACAAACTATATATAGACAGAGTTACACACTTAACAGAATAAACTATATATAGAGAATGTAACAAACTATATATAGACAGAGTTACACATCATACAGAATAAACTATATACAGAGACTGTAACAAACTATATATAGACTGAGTTACACACTTAACAGAATAAACTATATACAGACACTGTAACAAACTATATATAGACAGAGTTACACATCACACAGAATAAACTATATACAGACACTGTAACAAACTATATATAGACAGAGTTATACACCACACAGAATAAACTATATACAGACACTGTAACAAACTATATATAGACAGAGTTACACACTTAACAGAATAAATTATATATAGAGACTGTAACAAATTATATATAGACAGAGTTACACATCACACAGAATAAA